TCCCGAGTTGAAAGTTGCGGACAAGTTGCTGCGGACACACACAAACACACACACAGACAACCCCGTCAATATGCGTTTTGTACTGCTGTTACACAGCACAAAACGCATAAAAAAGTGTTGCTTTTTCATAGCCCAATTAATGAAGAAATAAGGTCTGCGAAATGATGCTTTAGCGACATTTCCTACTTCGAGTTTTAAAGCAAGCGAGCAAACTTACTGTCTTCAAAATGCCAATGTGGAGATTCAGCCTTCCTCAAGCAGCTTGCTAGATACATTGTAACAAGCAACTCAGACACTATCTGTAACCGCCAACTGAGGACGGCACCAAAAACAGTACGATTCTGATAAAAACGGCGTATGATGTCTTAGGTACTATCTGTAACCCGTCAGACTCCTTCATCTCCACAACAGCAAGGAGTATCGGTACGTTGGCTCCAGAATATGACGACTTCAAACACAGGATACTAACTGCGGCATGGTGGCGAACCGCTTACAATCAAACTCCTTTCCCTGAAGCCAGCAGTAGTTCTGATTAATTCCTACGAGAACTGCGTGCACAATTTAGCATATCGTCCGTTGACAAGACCTCAAATAACTACATAGTAATGTGCAAGAAGTTCTATGCTTTGGTGCACTTTACTGAGCTCAGTTTTAGCAACTTAGCCAAATTTGCGGTAATAACGTGTACATCCCAATGCCGCTTTCTACCCAACAACTGACAAAACCCTTGAGAATTTTCAACTTTATACCACCACTAATGACACCTCCATCCCTCCCATTTGTGCAGCTCCAAAGCTTTATAAGTACCCCTATGAGTAGAGATTTACTGTTGTAGCAAATAAATTTTCTCTTCAAGCCTTATCGGCTAGTACGCATCGCATATTAAGACTTAATTCAGTAATTACCGTGAATAAATTGTTATGCGTAAGGGAAGACCCACTTCTTTCAGCAATATCAATTCACTAACAATGGCACACTAGCTAAAAACAGTCCAGCACTTACATACTGCGGACTTCAGTAACCTTTCCACTAGTTCACCCCATTCTGACATTATCGATAACCTATACTACCGCTCTGACCGCTGCTTCATCAGCACGAGAAAAGAATGCATTGGTCTAAGTAAAACCCGCATTTGGTACGCCAACGAAATCATGAGCGATGTCATCTCTTACCTTAAGGATGAAATAAAGGCGATGCTTCGCATCGTTCTCTAAGAGACCTATGTAAGTTTTGTCGCCACATTTTCAAGCAAGTACAGGGTGTACCAATGGGCGGTTAGCCTTGACATACCCGACTTCCCGATACCATTTATGGAATACCAATTCCTGCGTACGAGTCCCAGTACCAAGCTCAACCTCCTCCGGCATACTGATGACACTCCTGTCACCAAACGCCCCAACTTTACTAAAATCTCCAATAGCATTTACGACCCTGCAGCTCAACACCACTTACTCCGGACAAGCATTTTGCTTTGATGCAAAGAAGGTTGATGTAGGTTTAAAGTATACAATAAGATCCAGGACTATCCATTTAGAGTGGATCAGGGCG